AGCATCAACTCAATCAGTGCCATTTGCGAAGCGACGGGCGCAAACGTCGAGGAGGTCGCGAAATCCATCGGTCTGGATACTCGGATAGGGCCACAATTTTTGAAAGCAGGTCTTGGTTTTGGGGGTTCGTGTTTCAGGAAAGACATTGCCAGTCTGACGTACTTGGCAGAATCTCTAGGCTTGGAAGAAGTCGCCCATTACTGGAGCCAGGTCAACTCGATCAATGTCATGCAACGCAATCGCTTTGCGCGAAAAGTGCTGAAGAGGTTCAACGAGAATCTGGTGGGCAAGAAGATCACTTTGATGGGATTCGCATTCAAAAAGAATACTAGCGATGCGCGTGAATCTCCCGCTGTCGACGTGATCAGATCTCTGTTGGACGAACAACCTGCGGAAATTGCAATTTTCGATCCCTACTGCGACGAAGATGATATGCTCCGGGAGATCAGCGCAACGGTCAGCAATCGACCGGGCTTCGCAGGTGAAATCTCCTCCGTGAAGATCTACACGGATCCATACGAGGCATGTATGGAGTCAAACGCCATACTCATCATAACAGACTGTGACCAGTTTAAAACGTCGCCTCAACGGCTTCGCGGCAGCAACGCATCTGAAACAAGCTCCCCCACGAATCGACCTGCAAGAAGATCGGCGTCACCGAAACAGGAAGAAGACTACCTGGGCGCAAGTTTTGCAAATTACAGACTAGCTGCTCAACCAGATTGCGTGGACAACTGCCCCGACTGCAGGTCAAAGGCCAGAGGCCCGATTTCCACGGACCCAGTCGAATGGGCTCGCATCGTCTACAGCATGAGAGAGCCTAAATGGATCTTTGACGGTCGAGGAATTGTCGACGCGGATGACATCGAGAAGCTCGGAGGTGTCCGTGTTGACGGGATTGGGAAATGGCGCCCTGAAGACGGACAGAAGCGCTGTTGGTAACCCGTTCCCCGTCCGTTTCAGGCCCGCTGAACCTCGATCGACCTACATTCAACTGATTGGACTTGAGATCCCACACCTCCCGCCTTCAACCTCGAAGCTGCCGTGGATGAACCCTCGGTGCTGTTGCTTTTTTGCGTCTTCATCAGGACAAGTGTTGTCTGCTGGGAATCCGCATCACGACGGGCTCTTACATGGCGTTGAAGCCCAATTTCGGAGTCAAGGGTGTCATTTATATCCTTGTGCGTGTGCCTCACGCCACGACACCAGACCACACCACGTTGTCATTTGTTTTTTCCCGTTCTCTTGCCCTGCCCTGTGTATATAGAGCAAGCTCAGCCTCCAAGAAGATCCTCAGACAAGCAGATAGAAAGACGACTTAGACTGATATGCAATGCCTTGTACCCGAACCAGGACGGCGTCAGGTCCGGGGTTGTCTGATCAAGGTTGTCGGTGTGAACAAGCAACGGGAGGGAGGTGGATGGATAGGCGAGGGGCATCTGCCATTCGAGGTCGTAGAGCTGAGGTGCTACGAGTAGAATACTCTGATACTGTCGAGTGCTTTAGCAAGAGCGGCTATAACGAAGAATCTCTTCACGGAGGTGTTACGGTTGATACTTCATAGGTCATCAGCCCTTGCGTGTCGGTGGAGGCCCTCGAGGTTGTTGCGGCCGAGGAGCGGCCGCTTTCCCGACGATTCCTTCCCAAGACGCATGGTCTGATCTCGTTGCGCGCGCCTCGATCAAAAGACCTCAATATTACTATCGACTCTCTATCAACCCAGTGCTGGCCACAGCCAGGGTCACCAGCGAGGTACCGATGCTTCTCAAGAGACATGATATAGAGATATTACCGCATTCGGTAGTGGGGTGCCCAGACTGATCAATCACTAATACACAAGATACTGCATTCTCCTAGGTGCCCGGGTATTTCCTGGCAATAACACGGTCGTCGGCAAACTTGATGTGGATCGTAGGTCTATGATCTATGATCTGCTCGGCTCGTCGCTGCAAGGCTGAGGATATTTTAGGGGTGAATCGCCACTACTAATATCAAATTGGTAGGGCATCAGGGAATCCTCTGCTCCAGAAATACCGAGGCTTCTTTTGCTTCTGCTCCTCATTTCCTGTTCGTAGCGGCAGGGCCTCGACTTGACTCGCTCACATCACTCCTGAGTCTCGTTCAGCTGAGCCTTGAGGTCCAGATGCGGGGAATTTATGCCTAGGCAGAGGAACATCTGGGAGGAGCAGGCAAGGATTACTTTTGCTTCTTCTCAGCACTTTAAACGAGGCTCCTTCGTCTCGACTCCCGCCTGGCTGAAAAGTATATAACAACGTAAGTACTACGGCTGTTGGGTGACTGGCTTAGCGTTGCATTGCATTGCATCTTTACTACTCTGCTTCAACTCTCCCGTAACGACTAAAGTGAACTTTGATTTCTCCAAGTCCAAATCCGTCATGCCGCAACCGACGTCAACACCAATGACACAGTCCCCAACCAGCTCGTTCGACTTCTACTCCGAAGCCCTCGCTCGTTGCGCCTTGCCCTCGGACCCGGCCGTACGCGCCGACATCGAGCATGTCCTCGAGCACGGCTACGTGGTCATCCCCAACTGCTTCAGCGCGGACGAGGCCCGCGAAGCCCGCGACGAAATCACGCGTCTTCTCCACAAGGACTCGTCGGGCCAGCGGCCGCTGACCGGCCGCAACAGCTTCGAGGGCCTCAACACGAACCGCATCTACTCGCTGCTCAACAAGACGAGGGTGTTTGACAAGTTTGTCATCCTTCCTCGCGTATTGGCGCTGAACGACTTCTTCCTCGATCCGGGGTATGTATAACTCTATCTCTTTGGCGTCCTAATCCCCGTTCAATGCCGTTTCGTGCCCGTGCGTGATAGGGCTGTGGCTCTAGCTATATTGTGCAACGGCATTCGGCATGCTGGAGTGACAGTGGCGGTGGGCTTTCCCATAAAGATGGAGACAGAGACAGGGAAACAAACAGGGACATATCTATTATACTCGTTCAAATTGATCCCCATCTGACTCAGAGCGGCCGCACATGTGAAACAGGTATTTGCTATCGGCATATCACACCATCTCGATCAACCCTGGTGAGAAGGCCCAGGCGTTGCATCACGATGACTATTACATCAAGTCTCCCCGGCCAAGGCTGCCGTTTGGAACGGCGATAATGGTCGCTTTGAACGAATACACGGCTGAGAACGGTAAAGTCTTTTTCGAATCCAATTCCGCTGTCTTCCTGTCTTGACTGAGAACTTATCAGGTGCTACACGAGTCATCCCCGGTTCCCACAAATGGGACAGCTCACGACGAGGCACGCCCGAAGAGACCATCCCAGCGCTCTGTCCCGAAGGAGGCGTCATCTATTTCATCGGAACCCTGTGGCACGGCGGCGGAGCCAATTTCTCGGACAAGCCTCGCCAGAGCGCCACGGTGCAGTACTGCCAGCCTTTCGTCCGGCCCATCGAGAATCAAATCCTGGCTGTCGATCCGAGGAAGCTGGACAGCATCCACCCACGCATCGTCGACTTGATGGGATATACACACATGGAGCCCTTCATGGGATATGCTGATGGCATGGGCCCTCGCAGGGCGGCGAGACGCATGGTGAAGTGGCTGCAAGAGGAGGTGGACAATGATCCCCCGACGTTTGCGCACGGGTTCAAAGACTCCAAACTCTAGGGTATCATCACAACAAGAGCACAAATCTGAGGTATTGGTGAGGTTTGGACTACCTCGTACATCAACCACGGCCAGCCCATTGGGGGTGAGGCTAGTGTTTGTAGTTAGAGGATCAAAGCATGAAAAATGGCGAGAAAAGTCATCTCCATTCAGCACTAGCCGAGGATTTCCAGAACAACTTGAAAGAGAAATAATGGCGAGGAGCATCTCAAGTCATAGTCACTGACGTACTCGTACTCGTACTCGGTACTTATATGCTAATGCCCAGCACCACCTATTTGACCAATCACAGTCCATGTTAAGTGATCAATATTATGCAAAACATCAATAATGGATAAAATCTGGAGAAGCGTGAAAAAGCCTCGAAGACAGAAAGGCATATCTTTATACATATGTATAATAAACTCCCATCGTCATGGTAGTCTAGTAGACGTTCCTAAACAAAAGCTGCCTTGCCCGCCCGGATGTCCGGAATAAGAGGCCTTGAACGGCCCGAAAGGGACAACATGTGGACGGTCTGGAGAGGAGAGTTTTCAACTGAGGACTGAAGCGCTGACAAATGATGTCGATCTGGGCACCTTGATCAGATTGGATTGTTGATGTCTTGGCGTTTGTCACGGTCGCCGGCGTGACTCAGCGTGCACAACGACGTCAATGCCGTGTCATTGTACATGAGCCTAGCGGCACTAGGGTTGAGGGAAAAGAGTTTAGCCTGCAGGTTGATTGGGTAATTATTTGCTTAACCCAATTAGGCTCTCTCAAGTCAAGACACTAGTGTCTAGTAGAATCAATCTCACAAGTTTAGTCAGATGGCTAGTTCGCTAGGCGTGCCCAAGGGAGATTTCCTCTCCTCGATCGATTCTGCTTAGGCGCCGCGCACCACTGGGTTCACTGGGGATCGACTGGAGGTGGCCGCCCGAAAACAAAACTTTGGAGGGCGGCTGGGCCAATGCCAGGCAAGGCACAGAAAGAGGAAAAGTCCCCCAAGCCCCGACCACCAACGCTGCCCCAAACTTGGTGTTTGTGTGGCTTTCTCTTTCCAGCAACCTCATCGGCATCTTGCTGTATCCGCTTTTTCTGATCAGCTGTGTCTGTTTCCTCCGTTTTGGACTTCCCTATACTCCGTGTTATCGACTTCTCAGTGGGCGTTGACCGGTGGCGGGCTGACTGCGTGTCGCCATCTCACTGAAGGATCGCTGGACTTGGGAACTCAAACTTCAACTCCGCTCAGTCAGATCTCTCTGTCTACGCCTGCGCCCTCGCATACCTGCGCCTCTCCAGTATCTCTGTCCCCCGTCGCGTGGAACCTCGCTATACTCGTGTCGTTGATGCAGCGTCCCCGAGGGCAGTGGTCACGCAATGTCTTCATCACAGCCTGGCTCGCGGCGCATCAGCTCCGTCAGTAACTCCAATACCGAGCCTTTCCCTTCGATACCCGAATCGCCGGCCGGACCAAGTTCTACCAACAACACCACGACGACCAGCACCACGACTACGACGACCACCGTACACATTCCCCATCGCGGGAGACCCTATACCATAACCTCCACCCAACCTTCGCACCAAACCCCTACCGTCGTTGCGTCCTCGCCCGACAATACTGTTATAACTAATGCCACCATCACAAACCCGACCGTGACGAGAACCATCTATACCCCTCCTCAGATCAATCGATTGCGGCCAGTCGGGATTAGGAGACTGCCCTCTTCGAACCTGCGACAGGCAGCACAAGATGGGGATTCAGCATCAAGTCGACCTCCCAGCCGCTCCGAGTCTGGCAGAAGACGTAGCAATTCTGCACCACAACGTACGAACTTGGGTGTTTCGGGCTCAGGCACATTAACGAGGCAAAGTACGCGACAGTCACTTCTACCAACTCTTGCCGAAACCCCATCGGCACCGGATCAAGGAGATGGCGCCGTGGATCGCGACACCATGCACGAGAACGTGACCGGCGTTCCAGGTAGGAGACGGAGCATCGGCAATGCTGCACGCTCCATCATTAGCAGAATGAGCGATACCTCGAGAGAGCGGCCAGGACCTGAATACGAAAACGAAGTTGTCGACTTGCTCGATGTGCTCGGTAAGTCATGGGTTATAGTTTGTAAACTTGGGCAATGCTGATTGAATTCTAGACCCCGAAGTCTCGACCCTGACTACGCTAAACAACGTCCAAAATTCGCTGTTTGTCCCAGACTTGGGCAGATGGATAAACCGAAGACCGACATACACACTGAGTCGTCGACCAACGCAGACCCGGAGACCCGACACGATTGAAGAAAAGGCGGTGGGTGTGCCTCCAGCTGGCACCGAAGGGGCTCCTTCAGAGGAGCCCCCCGTAGCAGTCCCGGGAGAAGAGGAGTCGGTTGAGCCGACCCCCATGGAGCGGACCTGGTCATACCAGCGCAAACCTCAGATGGAACGCACACACAGCATTTCGTCTGTGGTCACGGACTCGCACTTCGCCGTGCTACCACATGGCGTCTCTCTAGAAGGATGGAGCGAAGAAGATAAGGAGGCTCTCGACGATCATGTCAGGCACATGCTACACTCCAAACGATCGAAATTTAAACAGAGAATGGTTGCATTTGGGAAATATATTCAGAAACGTGAGTTTGTCAAAAGCTGCCCGTGTTCGTGTCTATTTGCTAACTGTGATAACAGCACTTGGATTTTTCGTGTTTTTATATGCAACTCTAATTACCCTGTTTGGTTTGGCTTGGGTTCTTTTCTTGATCGGTAGGTTGGAATGCATACTCTGGACGCAATATCCTATGCTGATCGTGTTTCTTAGGTTGGATCTATGTCGGAGACCGACAAGAATACACAATCAACGTAATCGACAACGTGCTTGTTGCTCTTTTTGCACTCGTCGGTGATGGCATGGCGCCATTTCGAGCGGTCGACACATATCACATGTGTTTTATTGCTCACTATCACCACCTGACGTGGAGGTTGCGACGAGAAAAGGGGTTACCGAAACTGCACGACCGCAACGATCTCCCTGCTCAATCGGAAAAGGAAGCCGACCCAGAGTCCGGGGCTCCAGAAGACCATGAGTTTTCTGTTTTGACGCACAAGCAACAGCAAAGACTCATACACCACCAAGCCAAATTCTCCAAATCGCATTCCTTCTACAAGCCCCACGAGACAGGCACCCATTATGCTTTCCCGCTACGCTTGTTGGTGGCGATCGTTGTGTTACTGGACTGTCATTCACTCTTCCAGATCGCGCTCGGTACCTGTACGTGGGCGATAGATTACCACACCCGTCCGCAAGCCCTGACTGCGACAATTCTGACGTGCTCCATCACCTGCAATATCACGGGCGGCATCCTGATCGCCATTGGAGATCGAAAGACGCGCAAGAAGGACGTGGCCTTGAAGATGGAGAGACAGGCCTTGACCGAGACAGCCATCAAGAAGGTGGAGAAACACAAGCGAGAGAGGCTGGAACACGAGCACGAGCCTCAGATCCGGGATGCCAATTTCGAAGTTATTGATGAAGAGACTGCTGACCAGGTTCGGAGGAGTCATTAGGTATGGCTCTCAAGGCTACCCATCCAATTGCCACGGAAGCATGGCGTTGGGAGTGGTAGGCCTCTTCAGTTGGTGTTGGCGGATATGAACCCAATATGACAAGCAGTTGTGCTAAAGGGAAACGATGTATCCTCTCCCTGGTGACTGTAATGATAACCAGAGTATTTGCGGAAAGTTGAGTGATAGTAATACCAACCTTGCTCGACCACACCCTGTAGCCTTAGGATCTCTGAGTAGGCTGAGAAGTGTTGCAATGCATACTCGGGCTTAGTCCACCTATACCGAGTACTGATACACATTGGAAGAGATGCAGCACCCAGCGCCTGATTGTAGCCATTAGGCTGATTCTCGGGGGCGCAGGAGATGAATCGTTATTCGACCAGCGCAACCGGCTCAGCCTCATCAGGCACATATTGCAGGCCTGACTTTGCCGCAGTGACCACCATCTTGCTTTCCATCATGGCACTCCCTTTGCCTCCTTTCATTCTGGCCTTTGCTCCTTCGTCTTGAATACGTTGGCTCATACCAAGACTAGGGGATGAGGAGAGAAAGTATCGATGATGCGCCGCTCGTGCTTTAATATCTGCTGAGCACTTTCTCCCTCTGAGAGCCTCGACCGGTCACTTCCCCCTTTGCTTTTCGACGATCCTCCCAGGACTCGATCTCTCTGTCTTCTACTCCACAGATATGGCTGAGGCTGTTCTGGGCGTGGTAGCCGGCGGTGCGGGCCTCGCCAGCCTCGCGCTCCAGCTCTTCGAAGTGTCCCAGAAGCTGCACGAACTGCGGGCCAACATTCGCGACGCACCCGTCGAGATGCGCGAGATTCTCGACGAAGCCGACCTCCTGCGTACCATCCTCGCCGAATACCTCCACCTCTCTGGAGCGGCGGACAAAACTCGACTGATGCCGACTTTGGTACAGAAGCAGGCCGTCGACCAGTGCCTGAAAGTCCTCGAGATCCTCCGGCACATGGCGCAAGAACTCGAAAGCACGATGCGAACTTCAAGCTCGAGGCGGGTCATGACTTGGGCCAAGGTCGAGGCTGCCTTTAACAGGAAGCGGTTTGTGAAATTACAGAGTACGCTCGAGAGAGCCAAGTCGACCCTCGTCCTTGCGATATTGACCAATCCAACTTTGAAACCATGTGCCCCCCAGAGGGAAGTCGTACTCCAAGAGTCCACCGCAGAAGGACCTTCAGAGGCAGCTGGTCTTCCTTGTACGACATCTTTCGGTCTCGAATCGTTTGCTACGAAGAGGAGAATTGCCAATACCAGTTCCAGCTCTTGGTTTGCCAAGTACAATATTGGCATAGGAAATGTGTATATCAGAGGCAAGCACTCTCGGGATGGAGCTGAGACTACTAACAGTACCGCCGAGAATGGTCTCAAATTGTCTGTTTCATTTGCGTCCTGGATGTTCAACAACTTGGTTGCCTTCATGTTTGACTCTCGTCCACAAAGGTTCCAGCTGACGCTACAAATCAACCGCCTTGTTCCACCTGACGCAGAGATATTTCACCTTTGTGCTGCAGGCGACACGATCGGCGTGGGGAGGTCCATTGCCGAAGGGAAATCTTCCGCATCAGATGTTACATACGAAGGAGTAACTCCCTTAATGGTGAGTCGAGCCCAAAATTGTGTCGGAGTCGGGCTGCCACACAAGCTGAGGAGGAGGAGGCACATTCACCACCTGTGGCACTACTGACCATCAGGATGTTTCAGGTTGCTGCGTATTACGGACATGCCGATGTGTGTCGTATCCTTCTTGACGCAGGTGCAGACACGACTATGACGGTACTTCGGGGCTATTGCGGACGCACGACTATTCAACTGTATGCCTCTTTCCCGGTCTCGCTGTCTTGGGCTGACCACTTTCCCTAGAACTGCTCTGCATTTTGTTGTGGGTGGCATGCCCCTTCCAGAGGCGTCGGTCATGGCCCTCTGGGACCATGTAAATCCATGGAACATCTATTGGGAGGGCTCCATGACCGAATTCTGCTGGGAAGATCCCCAAATTGTGGCGAATTCAGACACTGTGCGTGCTCTCGTCGAGCACGAAAACATCTGCATTGAGTTTGGCTGGTCGCCGGTGTCGTGCAGTGCGGATTATATTGACGAGGCTACGCACATGGGAGCTGGCCATCTGTCCCAAATCACGCCAGAAGATTTTCAATGGCTGATAGCGCCCGAGAGAATCAACCTCGCCGGTCAGGAACTGGATTTCTTTTATATGTCCTTGATGCTGATGCAGTGTTGCATCTGGCATGCCAATCTTCGCAGGATATACGTCGTTTTCTCAAAAATCACAGATCTGCCGACGATGGCGACAATCGACATCATTCCTGGTATGACCGTCTTACACTGTCTCCTCCCGCGTCTGCCATTTGTCGAGGACGAACATCTGAATTGCCTCAGAATCATGCTCGAACGACTGGTGCAAGCTGGTGCAATCGAGATGGTCGAGGCTATGCGCCCAGAACAACCGCTCGTGTTTGCCGCCAGAGCCAGTATTGGTTGTTATGTATCCAGGTATGGTAGCTGGGAGCCAGAGCGTGCCGCTAGCGCTCTGACTACCGGCTTGAACCTTTGGTTAGAGATACTGGGAAGGGCACAGGTGAATATTGGCAGCTACCTCATCGGCCAACGTAAGTATATCACCAAAGAACCGATCGAGTGCGGCGTCCTTCCACAAATTGTCGAGGAATTTCCTGAACATTTCCTTGACAGACAGTGGTACGTCCAATTGTCGTGTCGCAAAGATACGGACTCGATGGATGTACACAATTCCTGTGGTTTTCGCATCAAGGCCCAATACTATTCTGTCGAAAGTACCTATCCGGCACCTGGGGGTTGGCCCGGTGATGAGGCCAAGGGTAATCAGCAAACTCTTCAAAGCGTGGATGACTTGTGGGTTTACAACAGTGATGATGACTCACAGCTAGAATCCAACGTATGGTCAGACATGATCAAGACGTCTACTGAGGATGGCAATAATGGGACGTGACCTGATGATAGGGGGAATGCACTCCATTGACAACTGTGACAGAGGCCCCAGGGTGGTTTTGGTCTGCTTGAGCTACGATATCGCGATGAGAATGCGGCAACGAAAACCGGAAGCGGAATTCATGGTACGGCTCGGAGCTGTGGTGTTGGGATTGGAAACGGAACACGTACAAATATCCTCGTCGGCTGTGAATGATGAGGAGTTTGTACCCTGAATGACAAACGTACTTATGAATATATTGTGAACTGTGGTACGAGGAGCCACCTAAGAGAGAGAGCGCGAGAGAGGAGTCAATGACGAGTACGGGTTCGAGTTTGAAAGAAAAGGACAAGGCCGTGTAAAGCACTTACAATTGAGGTACGTAACGGATCTGATCGAAGATGGCTTCCGCTGAGCCAGTGCATGATAATACGCCAGCAGGGAACGTACAAGGCCGACTACACAATCTACGTACCCCGGTGACCTACAGTAGAACATGTAGAAGGGTTCGACTAGAGGTCTAGACCTCCCTCGTACCGCTTACCGGAGTGGTTGAAGGTGGCTTGGTCAGTTGCTACGAGGTACATATATATATACACCAAAGTAAGTACGTTGTACGTTGTATTTGCTGCCTCATCAAACATTAAACATCAAGTGTGTGATGGCGCAAGGCTTTACCGAAAAAAGGGGGGAGGGGGGGAGGGATCAGGGAGAGAAAAGTGGATCCAACGAGGCCCCAAAACCAACATTCGACTTCGAACCCGCCTTTGTGCAGCTCATGAGGTGGTGCTCGGGTGATTGCCTATTTCAATGCCCCGAGCACAGCCTGGACTTTCAGCTCCCGCCATAATACGTATACCTCGTCGAGAATGAAAAACAAGGAGCAAAACGGTGACCGGTGACGGGTGACTGAGATGGTGTTGTTGCTCTGGGCCGGGCCGAGAGCCTCCCGTACAGTCATGAGCGGTTCGAAGTCGAATGACAGCTCGGAGGCTGAGCGAACAAAATCTCTATGGACCGCGCCCTGTGGCCCAAATAATGACCTTGATGCAAGTTTTGGTCCGTGGGAGTTGGTTCTTCGATGGACTATCATAATCAAAATACCAAGACTGTTTGACGAGAAGCCTAAGCTCGACGTCCAAGGGTGAACATGGATATTGCTGAGCGGACAAAACAGAAAGCTCCCGAGCACCTCCCCGCCCTTCATCGTATCGTATACACGTCGAGTCGAAGTAACACCCCAAAAGCACAAACCGGCCAGCCTCCACGACTCACCCACCATATTCAATCTTATAGCTCGACTGCCTCTCCCGGACCGACGCCTTGGGCAGCGCGATCCGCAACACCCCGTCCTTGAGCCGCGCTCTCATCCTGTCCATGTCGACCGGCTGGGGGAAACTGAACGATCGAAGAAGCCGGCCTGCGTGGCGCTCGGAGAGTAGCAACGTCGTCGTCGGCTCGTCCATGTCACCGTACGAGGAAGATTCTCTGCGGTGCAGCTTGTTGGGTCTCGCAGGATCGGCCTGTTTGGTCGAGGGTTTGGCGTCGTTGTCGCTACTGCGTGGCTTGCCGCTTTCGCCGGCGTCGGTGTGCTCATGTTTATGGCCATGGTCATGCTCGTGCTCGTGGTCGCGATCCCGTGAGCGGCTCCTCATTTCGACGGCCTTGGGCTTTGCACCACTGCCGTGTCCACCACCCTCGGTGACAGCCGTGGCGGTGTCGCTGGCCCCTCTTTCCACCCGCGTATCTCTGCCCGGCCAGATCCCAAAGTTGTTGCCCCATTCGTGGTACAGGTCGAGTTCCGGCACGTGTGCCTCGATATGCAGGCCTTGAGAGCCCAGTCTCTCGATCCTGATGTCGTTCGGGTTGTGGATGCCCGGAAAATCCCCTTCTAGAAAGTACGCTTCGGCCGTCTCCCTGACGGTGAAGTTCGGGAAGACGACATCCTCCTCATATACCGACTGCCCTTGGCTGTGGCGGCGGTGGTGTTTCTGGTTGAAGACCGAGTCAAGCTCCCCGGAACCCAGGTAGTCGAACACCGAGCGTATAGACGAGCGGTGGTACGGGCCCCGCGAATCGAATGTGACATGTGGTGGTTTCAGCACTGTGTTGAGGTTCAATGGAGACATCGTGGTAGCTTTATATCGTCTGATATGATAGAATTTAGAGACACTCCCTATTTTCCTGTCTTTCGCTTCGGGTGTCCCAACATACACCCCTTTATGTATCCTCGTATTCCAACACTTGGGGCCACCAACAATTGGTCACATGAGTATATATATCTGATGGCGAGGCATTGTAACCGGTGAATCGAACCCAATGATCACGTGGCAAAGCGGACCATTTCGGAGCTCACTCCACCTTGAAGCATCCAGCGATTCCCTATTCGTACAATAAGTGTCTTGGTATTAAGACTACCTTGAATGATGGCTGCTTTTAGAGTAGTTGTATTTTGGCATTTATGTGTGGTGTGATGGAAAAAGAGCCTCGGAAGCTCATCAAATTGTTGGTCGCGTGAGCTAGCAAAGTCTGGGGACATGACCGCCGGTGTGGCCAAGCTGGAGCTGTTGCCTACTTGAGCCACCAGCGAGATACGAACAGCAGCGTGCCTCTTTGGGTAGGACACTATCATCAGAATGGGCATGTTGTAACCGGGCAGCTCCCTTGGCACACAGTCCGGATTTCATGGTGGAGGGTTGGTCCCCGACGCAGTCGAGACTGATTCGTATGAAATGGTTTGTGGCTGGCTCTGCCTCCCATTGTAGCCATGGTATGATCGTCGAACGGCAGGGTACTTTGGCATACGAAGCTGGTCAGTCTGCTCTTGCCCTCCTTGAGGTGTAGGCAACCGTGCCTTGCGTGATGCAGGTCAGTTGATTCGCATGGCAACGCCCGGGGAATGCCAGAGATGGCATCAATCGCCAGTAACCGGCCGCATTCGAGAGTTCAGCCTCGCATCGTACCTGCTGTGAAAAGGCGTCCGAGCAACCTCGCAAGCAGGAATAAAGGGCCGTAAACTAATATCCTGATTGCAAAGTGGTCGAGTTTCGAGTTGTCAACCTGATGCTCGTAAACGTCAACAAGCCCAATATTTCCATTGGACGGGCCGATCCAGCAGGCTGATCGCTGTTGGAGCACCTGATGTCGAGGGACCCAGAAGTTTCTCCACCTCGTACCCCACAAGTATAAGAGCTTGAGTCTGTTCCCCTTTGACGACGCGTTGGGCTCTATCCTCCCATGAACAAATCCATATTCATGACCAAGAAAAAATCAAGAAAGAGAATCAGCAATGCCTGAACCACACAACGATGGCCTGCACTCCCTGAAGACCAACTTCGAGGTAGGCGTCATGGCCGCCAGTGGTGTTTATGCTGCCAACGAACTGGGCAAAGCAGTCGCCGAGGACTATAAGGACGCCAACGAGCACTATGTCAAGGCTGCTGTTGGCGCAGCGGTCGCCGTCGGAGCGTTCCATCTGCTCCAGAAGCAAAAGCGGGAACGCGAGGAAGACGAGTACATCAGCAGCAGCGATGAAGAACATCATCATCGCCATTCACCTCGCCCACGTAGGCACTCACATCATGAACATCACCACGAGCACCTGGAGGGCCCTGGCCACACCAGACGGCTTTTGGAAGAAGCCGTGGGAGCGTACAGCCTGGGCAAAGAGCTCTTGGGCGACAGGCGGCACCATGTAATCCACCTGATCACAGAGGCCTTGGGAGCAGTCGCCGCAGCGAGAGACGTTAGCGAGAGGAACAAAGAAGTTCGAGAGATTTGATTCGGTCGAAGCCGAGGAGGCTTGGGGTGCTTAGGGTGTTGACTTGCAGGAATGAAACGGAAACAGAACCAGCAGAACCAGGAACTGGGGATGAAGTTGGGAAAATGACTCGCATGATGCAAATTGCTAGTGTCATTTTAGCGCCATTTCGATGCATTTTAGCGGGAAAGCATGGATGGGAATTTGTAATGACAGAGGGTTTGTTGAAGGTCATGTGCGGGAAGGAGTCTTGGCACTACAAATACCGAGTAGTCAGTCGCATTGACATCTCAACTCATTCTTCTCTTTCACCTGCGTCTGTGAACATGACCTTCTTTCCATTTCCGGCAACACTAACCCTCTATGCAATCTCTATGCTTAAATTTGATGCTTATTCAAGCTAGAACCATTTTCTCACACCCCGAGGACACCCAAAAGGGTTGTGGCGTGAGGAGACCTCCGGGATATCGCCAGCCTCGCGTGTGCCCAGTCGATAGCCCCCGATCACAACCGAAAGTCTCGTTACTGAGCTAAGCCTTTTTGCCTCGTCTCGCCCTGGCCTTGTCGCCTCCGCCTGGAGACCTCCAGGCGCGTGGAACCACTCCCGCGCAACTCTGTTTGCGATCCCAGTCCCGTGGCACTGGCACTGGCACAGGCACAGGCACATTGACGCTGTCAATCTCCCTACCTACTTGTCCCTACACACTTGGAATACAGCACGAGGTCGCGTCAGGCTATCGTCACACATCGATTTCCTCGGTTCCCCAGTGGAAATGATATGCTCTTCGAACCACTTTTCTTGGCTTGTGTTCGGGCTATGAATATGCTTGCCTAAGGTTCGATGCATCTGACCAGTACTTTGTGAATGAAAGATATTCAGCCTCAGGAGAAGGAGGCGGATAAGGGTGCCGGGAGGGAGGACGTGCCGAGGCCTTTTCCCAGCAACTTTACAACGAACACCACATCCAGCCTAGCGATCGGTCACGGCGCGAAATTCGCCATCGAGAATCGGGACCATGAAATGAAAAGCCCGATAGCACATTTTCTAGGGGGTTTACTTTCCCCGTCTCTATCGTAGAGCCCTCAGCGGACCGTAGCCCCGACTTTCAACCTCCGAACCCTCCATGTCTTTGTTTCTGCATTGGCTGTATGACACTTGATCCTCAGTGCTTCAAATTCATCCCTTCTGACACAGCGTGTCTCATATCAGGTAGTCCAGTCTAGACACCTACATCCTGGACATGCTCAATATACCCTTTGGACCTATCCAGCCCCTTGGGACCGCCGCCCAACTCGACAACGTGGACATCATCGTCGTCGTTGACCATGATCTTCTTGTCCCTGTTGTCCAGGACGCGCTCGCCAAAGACCTCGGGCATGGTCTCGAGCGTGTGGCCCTTTGTCTCGGGAAAGAAGAAGAACATGATGAGGACCTCGACGGCGACCCACGCGACATAAACAAAGTAGTACTTCCAGCCGATGGAGCTGAGCCCGATCGGGTTGACGAATTGGTTGAAGAAGAGAGACGCCTTGGTCGTGAAGACGGAGATGGAGAGGCCCATGGCGCGCAGGCGGTAGGGCAGGATCTCGGTTGAGTACAGGTACAGAGTTGGGATGAGGCAGAAGTTGTAGCCGGTGTTGAAGATGAAGATGAAGCCCAGCGACGACCGGCCCGCGCTGGTCGACTTGTGCTCGTTGTACAGCGCCACAGACGTCGCGAACCCCACCAGCGACAGCCACATGAAGGTGCCGCCGCCGACGAACAGGACCCGGCGGCCGACCTTGGTGGCGAAGATGACGGCGCAGAACGACGTGACGTAGTTGACCGTGGTGACGATGCCGTTGAGCCGCGTCTGTTCCTGCTGTCCGGTGATGCCGATGCTGTCCAGGATCTTGGGGAGATAGTACGAGATGAGACCCGTGCCGCTCCACTGGCCGAAGACGGCGAGGGCGATTAGGATCATGAGCCGTTTCCGGTTCTCGGGCGTCTGCACAAACAAGCGGAGTCCGCGGTGCTTCATCTGCTTCTCCTGTTGCAAGGCCTCACACATTTCGTGGTACTCGGCAATGGGCAGGGGATGGTTCGGGTCGCCACCGCCGTGGTGCTTGACCAGGATCGCAAAGGCCTCGTCGCCTCGATCCTTGTAGCACAGCCAGCGAGGCGACTCGTCGAGGAACCAGATCGCACTTGTCTGTATAAGTGCCGGACATGCCTGGAAAAGCGTGGGGAGACGCCATGCCCACGAGCTCGGGATGTTGACGCTACCGTACGCGACCCATGCCGCAAGCACGGAGCCGAGGGCGAAGCTGCAGTTGTACATGGCCGAGAAGAAAACCCTGTGTCGTGGGTGGGCCAATTCGGCGAGAAGAATCGGAGCAGCAGCCAGGGCAAGACTGATGCCGAAGCCCACGACCACACGGCCGCCGATGAACAAGCCAATGCTCTTGCTCACGCATTGCAGGACGACTCCGAGCATCATGATGATGCTGCCGATGAAGATGGACCATCGACGGCCAAAGCGGTCCGATACAATGGCAGAGAATGGTGTCGACCCTATCGCACCCAGGGCATATGCTGAGCTCGTTATCCCGAGCAATGCCCCGTCTGGATGCCCAAACTGGTCCTTCCACCTGTCAATACCCTGAAGAGCGTTGAGGACGGAGCCATCAAAGCCATTCGTAGCGCAGACCACCAGGGTGGCCGGGGCCAGGACGAGGTAGAGCCTGATCAGCGCGGGTGTCAGGCCAAGGCCTTTCTTGTCTTCCAATGCAAGAACCTCCGACACGGTGAGTGTGGTGTGAACGGCTGAATCCATTGTGATGCGGAGTAAATGGGATGGAAAAGGGGGAAGGGAGAAAACAGGAGATCAGGGACGGGGAGAATCAGCGACTGACTGAGACTTCCCAGGTTGCGAAAAGGACAAAGCTGCCAGCTTATGTAGCAAGCTGTATCCATATTCAAAGCTATATCTCCAACAGTGTCCCAGATAATTAGCCATTGCACCGGGTTAGGACACAAGCCCCAGCGGTTGTAGTGGCAGCAATTGTTAGCTTAGCTCGACATCCAGCATGGCAATCCTCGCCAGTGACCCCATGCTCACACAAGACCATGCTGTAGTGTACCGTTCACCCCCCGCCTCCTCTTCTGGCCGACCCATACCCACCACGTCTGGCTCCCCAACCTGTATGTTTATTCCCCGTGGGGGAGAACCGAGACGGTGATCAACGAAGTAAATGGTCCGGGTAGGTCACCAGGTACAAAGAGAGAGTCTCGTCTCACAATCAAGAACACGAAAACGGAGAGAAATCCTCGGTAGAGAACTCCTTAGGGGGAAAGAGGCGATCGTCGTCCTGTGTTACGTCCCGGGGTCATGGGTTTTGTGCGTTGTATATCCATTTGTCTCTGCTTCGGCCAGGTAGCGCGCAAGATGTACAGAATTTGTTGTCGTATTGGACGAACTTTTCCAACCTTTTGGCCATTTCCCACTTGGTCTATTGTACGTCAGAGGAAGCTTGAGGAGGTCTGGTGGAATTGGTCACGCTGTTGAAGCTAGAAGCACTAGTTTCTTTAGGTTTGATAAACCACAAGCAGGTTTGACCCTTGAACAGTTCTAGCGCGTGTGCGTGTTCACTGGATGATGGAGATGATGTTAGCAGCAGCTGTTTCCCCTTTCTCTCCCCGCATCACTGGGGCAGGTGGAGCTGGTGAGGCTCTCCACATAGCCTTGTGCCGAGCAGCCGGGGAGTTTCTTCATACTGACAGAGAAGAACCACCCAAGGGCGCGCTCCCATGGGGGAAGGTATCGAAATTTGCCTATAGGCTGAGCTATGGCGCGTGAGAAGGTCTCTTTAGCCGGACGATATAAGCTTCTCGCAGGCGATTGCATTGGCTAGTCATCACCTCCATTGCCACAGAGCCGTGTCTGGAGCCGCAGAGAAGGACATTGGTGAGGAAAAGCGCCAGGCTAGTACATCACTTCCTGATCAACTGCTAGAGAGGTTGGAATCAAGCAAGTGTCAAAGCATATTTAGCGAAATGCTTGATGGGCCCCCCAGCTTGTGTACTATGCCGCATCTCAGGCTAAATTCTCAATTGTCATGGGTGATATACTCCCTCACACACATACTCCATCCTGGGGACATCTGTGTGTTTCGATCTCCGTGTCGAGTCTTGCCAACGGACTTAGGTTTCCGTTTCGCATACTGCTACTCTTGAGGTGCTGGATGTTCTTGTGACTGATCACTGGCAATGGCGTTGTTCCACCTTCACAGACTTCGAGTGCATCGTGTCTTCTTTCAGAGCAACTTGAGATTTTCACCACTATATGCGAGAACCTGGGCACCCACTTATTGTCATAGTTTCTGAGCCGTAGAATCCGGCAATTGAAAGCCGTTCGTGACTGAGAGTTTAGTTCTTCCTGAGAGGCGTGTTGAAGGACTTTTCATACCGTCCATGACTCTTCGATTTTCCCTGGATGTGTGGTGACCAGTTCTACTGGACACTGAAAGAGTTGTATCAATGGCAGTGAAGATTTCGCTCGTACGAAGAAGACCCCTCCAAATGGTTCATGAAATATCACTCTCGCTCGACTTGGTTGGATCAACCATGTCATGTCTTACAAATTTCCGAGTCATCTTTCCTAATTATGCCTGCATATTGGAAACATTCGAGCATTTCCAGAATAGTACAGGCGATGAGAAAGGACGTTATTGACTTTGGAGCTGCGGAACTTGACTGCAAGTTGGACTGCGAGGAGGTACAGGTTGAAGCTCTAGCTCGGGTCGATACACGGGATCGTAAAGGAGGTCGTATTAGGCGAAAATAGGTAGCACAATAATGTTATCAGAGCAAATGCTCGTCTGGTGCGAATGTCAGCCAACAAGCCACTAACGAAGTACTCCAACAGAACACTCAAAACGTCTAATTGATGTCCGGGGATAACCAGCAAGACTCCTTGTATGGAAAAAAGGTACATGCACTCTTGCAGAGGTCAATGATCGTGGGCTGATTCTCACGGTTGTCATGACGCTTGTCGGAGAATGGCCGTCCCTGCGCTTCCCTCTCATTGGCAACGCCGCGTGGCTGCAATTAGGGCAAACATGACAAGCCGAGTTGAGCGGGGGTCGGGGACAAGCACGTTGGAGTTGTAACCGCAAGCACGACTGGATCGTAGATCGAAACAACAAGTTGGGGGGAAAAGAGTGATTTGTTGTATAGTACAGGAGGGACGCGGAAGTGAGGAAATGAGGGGAAGGGAAAATTATATGTACCGTAACATGTCACAATACTCGGTACGTACATCCATACACCAACCTCCTCCTAGCTAGCACGGGCACAAGCGAAAACCAACTCATATTCAGACTCACACTCACGCCTACAATCATCCAGCCATGGTCCTGAAAACATCGCACGATCAATATCCCCCCTTCGCCGAAGGCCTACGAACCGCACCCCTCGTCTCCATCTCACTCCCCAAACTTGAGGCCTACGATGAGGACGAGTCGCGCACCTTCTTCAAGGCCTCCAAGGAGCTCGGCTTCTTCTACCTGAGCATGGAAGGGTCCGCGCTGGGTGAGAAGATCGTGGCGCAAGCCGAACAACTCCATGCCGTGCAGAAGCAGTTCCACGCGCTGCCCAACGAGGAGAAGGAACGGTTTGCCCGGGAAAAGCTCGACCCTTTCTTTGGGTATCGGATCCTGGGTGAGCGGGAGATGGAAGACGGTACGATCGGGCGCAACGAGAATTACAATGTCAATCATCACCGATTCTCTGAAACGTCTTTTCAATTTTCGCTGACTGTCTTGTTTCGCTGTTTTCTAGATGCGTAAAGATGACCTCGTCGGAAACTGCAAGCCGCTGCCCTGCCCAGACCTCATCAAGCAGCACTGGACCTTGTTGGGCGACTACGCCCGCAACTGCCGCGCCGCTATCGACCTCATGTTCACCCACCTCGAGAAGAACCTTGAACTCCCCATCGGCACCTTAGCCAAGCTGCACCGCATCGAGGAGCGATCCGGCGACCACGTACGCTTCAACAAGTCTGCACCGGGCAAATTCGACGAGAAGAGGGCTCGGCTGGGCGAGCACACCGACTTTGGCTCCCTGACCATCTTGTTCAACTGGATGGGCGGCCTGCAGATCCGCCTGCCGGACACCAGCGACTGGGTCTATGTGCGTCCTGTGCCTGGCTCGGCCGTGGTCAACCTGGGGGACGCCCTGGTCAAGTTCACCGCTGGCTTACTACGGTCCAACGTCCATCGCGTTGTGCCGCCGATGCCCCCGCAGGACAAGATCGACCGACACAGCCTGGTGTTTTTCTCCCGCCCGGAAGACGCCGTGGTGCTGCGGCGTCTCAAGGGCGGGCTCATCGACAAGCAGCCCCAGACGCAGAAGGAGGAGATGGAGTTGACCAGCGAGGAGTGGATTCTGAGACGGAGTGTCGGGGATCTCAAGGGCGTCTACACGCACCAAGGTGGTCTGGAGCTGCGGTTTCCCCTGGTGGAGGGCAAAGCCTGAGCCGCCGGCGGTTGATATCCCTTTTGATTTCAGGCCTGTACGAGGTGTTGATGTAGTCGTCAAAGGATAGTTCCAAGTAGTGTAAACGTCACTGGCATAAGAAAAAGAATGGATCCAAAATGTTGGTGTCTCTTGAAGACCCTCTTCGCGCCTTAAGCCGAAAATGGACTTGTTCGCGAGGCTTTCGGCCGTGACTGCAATCTCCACCACCAAGTACCATCTTACCATCTCACCATCCGTGCCATCTTCATTCACTTGATGTCCCTCGTTCCCCCGTGAATCTTATACTGGGCATTTCACCTCCAATTATGTCAGTCGCCATAACATACTTTCCTGCCCACGAGATGATCTGCAGCAGGCAGCAACGATTCTATGGGACGCCAAATTCGATCCCCTGACTTGAGAGTCTACGTCGGATGTTGAGTTCATCCGCGCTTTCTTTGGATACGTCGTTGGAAAAGGTTGGGATCTTGGTTCACTTCGATGGATCTGTAGAGGTATGTTGGTCATTTAATGCGTGGTCCACGGTAGTGGTCCGCACTGTAGGCGGAGGAGGAGGGAAATGTGCATATGCGTCACAGAGTATATAACCCCCGTCCACTCTCATTGATTTCTGATCATTCTTCCACCACGCGGTACTTTGTAGATAGGAAGACAAGAGACTTGATCATGGGAAACACATATGGTGACGAAAAGGGCCCAGGACCGGCCACAAACCATTGCTGCCGTGGCATCCAGCCATGCCAGCCAAGCAGACAATGTCATCTGGACCCGGATCATCAGCTGAGCTCGAGCACGGCATGCACACACAACCAGACGAGAGGTCGATGCCACCACTACCAACACCACCACCACCGGCACAAGCAAAATAATTGCCAGTCGTACATGTCATGCTGCCATCGCGCCAACCACAACCATGGTCACAGCCACAACCACAACCACCATCAGCACCACCAACACTCCCAGGGACCATGCCAGTGCTACCGCTGCCAGAAAAGCCGCAGCCAACCCACACTGCACCCCGCGATCGGGATCCCCCTGGCCATCGCGACGGGCGGCCTCTCGTGCGCCGCGATAGGCATCTATCGCGGCTACATAGGCTACCGTGACCGAGCGGCGCGGGAGACAATCAGAGACATTGTTCCGGAGCAGGGTGGCTGTGGTCCTGAACAAGCAGCAGCCATAGCCGTGCGGGACGTCGCTGATGTTGAGCATGACGCTGGGCCTCGAGCCGCCGTCTCTTCGGGCATGCCTGATGCGTCTCTCGCAATGGAGCCGCCGCCGCCCAGGTATACCGAAATTGATAATGGTCAAATGACCAGCGATGCAACTCAGAAGATGTGAGAAAGGTGAAGCGAGAAGAAGCAATGTGGAAGATGTACAGAGACGGTGCGAAAGCCGATAACGTAAAACAATATGTATAAATGACCTTCGTCTAGGACAAAATTTCTTTCCATTCTTCTCTAGTGTGGAAGTATCCTAGAAAACACTCACGTCCCATTCACCCGCTTTTCTCGGGCCCGGCAGCGTGCTCGGCCCTCTGGGGACGAACTTACCGTACCCTTTCTTGCCCAGCAGCCCACCGCCGTCCCGGTCCCATACCACCTCGCCCCTGAGGATGGTATACCTCGGCCACTGATTGAGCTCCATCCCCTCAAAGGGAGTGTAGTCCACATTGTGGTGGAGCATCGAGTTTGTGAGCTTGAACGTCCCCAGCTTGCCGGGCGGATACCAGATGGTGAGGTCGGCGTCGCTGACGCCCGGCAAGATTGTGCCTTTCTGTGGGTACAAACCGTACAGCCGCGCGGCGTTGGTGCTGGTCACTTCGACAAACTTTTGCAGCGGGAGTCTGTTCGCACTCAACGTCAGTGCGAGACGGGTCTCGATCCCGGGACATCCGTTCGGGATGCCGCTGAATCGGCCCTCGGGGTACTCCGCGCTGATGATGGATTTCTTGCCCTTCTCGTAGTCTTCGTACATGAAGGGGCAGTGGTCCGACGAAAGCACGGTGAATGTGCCGTTGGCGAGACCTATCCAGATGGCGTCGTGGTCGTGGGCAGACTCGCGAGGCGGGGGGGAACAGACGCATTTCGCCCCCTCAAAGTCTGGTTTGTCCAGGTCGTCGCGGGTCAGAAAGAGGTATTGTGGACACGTCTCAGCGTACACGGGCAGTCCCCGCGTCTGGGCGTTGCGAAGATGGGCTGCGGCGCTGGGCGATGACACGTGGACAACGAGGCTGGATCGGCGTGCTGGTTAGTCAACCAGCCCATGCCTTTTGCTCTGCAAAAGGAGGATGTAATAGTGACGACTTACATAGGAGCATCCATCAGCTCGGCCAGAGCAATCGCCCGATTCGTTGCCTCCGTCTCCACGATCTGTGGCCGAGATGTGGCATGGTACTTTGGAGCATACAGCTTGCGCTCCTCCAGCTTCTTGGTCATCCAGGTCAAGACGTCTCCATTCTCCGCGTGAATCATGGTTGTGATGCCTTCTTTTCTCGACGCCAGCAACACGTCAAGGATCTCGTCGTCTCGCAGCTGCAGGGCCGCGTAGGTCATGTATATCTTGAGCGAAGAGATGCCGAGTTCTCGCAGACGTGGAAACTCCGACAGCGCCTGTTCTCCCGGGTGACCGACGAGCATATGGAACGAGTAGTCCGTGTAGCAGTTGTCCTTGGCTCGGGCTTGCGTGTCCTCGAGGACTTGGAGGAGGGAGGGCATGGTTTTCGCTTGAGGCGCAAACGCTCTGAGAGGTGGTAATCAGCGTTGGCCCCCTGTACGGGTGGTCTCGACGTACACTATCGTCGTGGTCCCTCCACAAATACTGCTCCTGGTACCAGTCTCAAAGTTGTCCGAGCTCCTCCCCTTGCCGCCGAACAGCGCGGGCTCTTCGAGGTGGACATGACAATCAATGCCACCGGGCTACAAACTCGGGACGCCGTTCGTTCAGTGTTCCAAATCATCACCAGCGCAACAGAACACGGACAATCAAGACAGAATACAGCATACCATGACATAGCCTCCCTCGGCATCAATCACCCTCTTCGCGCTACTCGGGCTCAGCACGCCCGGCGGGGCCAAAAGCGCGATCTTGCCATCCTTGATGGCGATATCGTAGTTTGCCGTATCGGAGGCAGTCACCACGAGTCCGTTGACGACGAGAAGGTCGAAGCCGTCCATGATGGACAAGCAGTTTAGTGGTGGCAGCTGCGCCAACAAGTCTGGAGATACGGATGCATGGTGGCACTTAACTCTGGCCTTGATTGATCAAGTCCGATCGTTTTACGGGTGGTGACCGTGTCCCCACGCTGCCAGTGCCGACAAATGGGCCATACACCATTGAGCTGGCAGGCTGGCAGGCTGGCCATCTGGGGAAGAAGGAAGCGAAGCTCTGCGTGTCTGATAAGGAACCTCGCGCAAGTCCGCATGAACCCAAAAAGGATTAGCGTCGATACCTCTGTTGCTCCAGTTTCTCCGCAGCGGGCAACACCGAGAGAGTATACTCCACCGTACTCTGCGCTTTGTACATAATGCTCCTCCCTACCACATCCTCTACCCAATACCCACTTCGCCCCTTGTTGACTCATACGGTCACGATCTATGTTCTTCTTACAGACTACCTCTACTTATGCAGATATCTATCGGTAAAGGAGTCCACCTAGATACGCGTCGATCTTGTCAACAACGTCTCCCGTCCCGAGACCAAACCTAGCACCGATCCAGCCATCTGGCCTGACCACCAAGACAGCCCCGGAATCGACCTCGACTCCATATCTCTGGTATGCCTTGCCACCGTCGACATCATAGTACACTCGGCCCAGCGGATCAGTCCCCAGCTCGAACCAGGCATTACCGACCTTCTCAGGTAGGATGGTAAGGAAGTCTACAGGCCATTTCCGAGACTGAGATGTTGAGGACCCGTTGACGTGCGCCCCGTTTGTTGTTGTTGCTGCTGTTCCCGGGACCCTGTCGAGTCTCAGGTGTTGGTTCTTTTGCACGTCTTCCTTCATCTTGAGGAACGAGCTCTTCACCTCAGCCGACCTGCCCATAAAGACGACAACATAGAATCTCGCTAGATTTGCCATCAGAGTGTGCAGCCAGACCGGTTCCCACAGTGCAGGAGTCAACACTTGGACATCTGGAGCGCGGTATCCGGCGATGGCCGGTGCTGGGATGATCGATCGCTTGGCCACCAGCTCAGCGTCCTCCTCACTGACATCCCGTGAAACAGCAATGTTCGGTTCAAAGCCAATGGTCAGGCCGGTATTGAAGCCTTTGGCTTCCTGCAGTATCCTTCCCAAAACGACATTCGGATCCTCGGTTTTATCTCCCGGCCAGTCCTTTGGCAGTCTCCCAGAGACGAGGACGCTGATATCCTCGTCGTACTTGATGAGTTTGCGCGCATTCGGCCTTCTCTCCTGCTCGTACGTCTCGAGAACTTCTCTCTTCAGCACTCCCGTCAACACCAGCGCTAGCTTCCAGCCCAGATTCACCGCGTCGTGCATGCCAGCATTCATCCCCTGGCCTGCTCCCGAGCTGTGGCTATGGGCAGCGTCGCCGGCGATAAAGACGGCCTCTTTAGCCCAGAAATTCCTCGCCACACGCTGTCCGACACTGTACACACTCGCCCAGTCCACCCTCTCGTATTCAATCTCGAACGGTTTGACGGACAGCTTCGCCTCTTGCAAAAACACCTCCTGGTTGAGCTCCTTGTAAAGTTTCCTGCGCTCGTCGTTCAGCGCGAATCCGATCCTCGTGGCACCGTGGTCGAGCGGGATCCAGAGGACGTTGCCGTACAGAGGACTCTCGATGGCGCCGTAGGACCTGGGCTTGGGCATCGTCGTGCTTTTGAGGACACCGTCAATCCTGACCCACTTGTCTTCGGTGCGGTCTCCGTCAGATTCGATTCTCGCGGCTCCGCGCACCAGCGTCCTCGACCCGTCACAGCCGATCAGATAGCGGCACTTGACGGTATATTCCCTCTCGTTGTCCTCGCCCGCGCTGCGGTCTAGGATCGTGGCCTTGACCCTCCCCCTGCCACCAGCCTCGACCGACTCGTCCACGGCGAGGTCCACAAACTTGCAGTTCTCGGCGACCGTGACGCCCAACCGACCCAGCTCGGCGCGGAAAATGTCCTCGACAAACTTCTGCCGCAGCACGCTCGCAAACGTGAAGCGCGTGTCCTCGAGGCCCTCGACGAAACTCCACCCCCGCCCAAACACCTCGGTGCCCGTCGTGTCGTACGCGGCGCTCGACCGCACCGCCACGCACTGCTGCGTGATCTGGTCCGCAAGCCCCATCTGCGCCAGGATCTCCATCGACCGCGGCCAGAAGGTCACCGCCCGCCCAAAGTTCTCCTGCACCGGCTTGGGGTGCATCTCGACCACGTGCACCGAGATGGGCGTCGCAGATGCATCCGGGTTGATCGGCGCAGACGAGAATCGTCGCAGTTGGTACGCCAGGTTGAGGCCCACGGGGCCGCCGCCGACAATGAGCACGTCGACGTCGACGTCCGCAACCCCTGTGGCGGGCGTTGAGGATGGCATTCTGACTTGAGCGTGGCGCCCCCTGGTTTTTTTTGTCCGCAAAGCTTGCCGCTACACCTTTACTATTCTTTCTGCCTTTATTTCCCTCCTTGAAGGACAAGGCCCTACCGGCCCTTTGTAGACCGTGTACGCTGACTTGATTGGCCTGGCGATCACCAGCAAGTTTAAGGCGAGGAGCTGGTCGACGTTTAGAGGACTCGTCGCTTAGAGCAGCACCCACGACGTTGATTCAAATCTAGGGGCAGGCACGTCAGAGATGTAATTCAATCAATAGAGCAAATTGGCAAGCAAGCGGTCATCCCGTCTTTCTTTTGGTATTCATTCCCTTCTCCCCTGGCAACTAATTTACATGAACCTGGCAGTCACCTCCATCCTGCAAGTCTGAGGCACCAACCACAAGGCTGAACTGGAATGATAAGCGACGTCGTTCTCCGTGCAAGAGAATTCCAAGGTATGACGGCAAGAGTGGGTTGATCGAGTGCGACGCAGATGTCCGGAGCCGTCAATGCGAGTCAGGGTTACAAAGTACATGTCCGTTTGTTTCTCCAGGATCCACGACGGGCGACAAACAAGAATGTATATGCGAAGGCCCCAAAATAGTTCTCATGGACGTGGACAACAAGGACAAAACCCGAAGCCTGACCGAGTGGTGGATGCTGAGGTCGCAAGGGATCCAGACGATCATCCTTTCCTCCAACCATTCAGTTTCATGCTGCTATCTCCGAACGGCTTGTCCTCCCCATCATGATGTTGATGGCCCCGCTGGTCGAGAAGGAGGAGGAAAAGAGCAATTGTAGTGCCTCTGCTCGATGAGCTGCCCATTGTGGAAATCCAGAAACACGGCGATCCTGCTCTGCATTTGCAGGCCTTTCCTCAAGTGTTCGCCACAATCCTCTGCTATAGTGGCGGTCCAGAGCAGTTCCACCGCCACTTTTGCCTTGACATTCATCCTAGCAATTCCGTTACCGGGTGGATTTGGTACTGAGTTCCCGACCTCTTCAGACCCTGTTTGCCCAGAGGTTGTAGTTGGGCGAATATGAGCCGAGACCGAAACAACCATATCGTCCATCACTTCGTACTTGGTATCTTTGAAGTATCGCCTCAGGGGTCTCGTAGTGGCTCGATGGGCGGGTCAAATATTCTGTTCTGGCTCTAGCAGTGAGCATGTGGGGAAACTCGTAGAAATTAGCACTCCGGTGAATGAAAGGACTAAGGTCTTTTGCTGCCACGTCAGGCATCGACTGAGCTGGAGAGAAGAAGAATGGGAGGATCAGATTGACGAGGGTGATGTAGTACTGCTTCTCGAGTATCGAGCAGGGGGATGGCGATGCCGTCGATGTGGCCATGGTTTTTTACAGAAAGCTCCGGAACCCCTGGGATGGGGAATGATCGATATAGTCACTGAAAGAGATGCCGGAGTATGACGAAAATGAGAATGCGGTATCAAGATAACATGACCATATAGCAATGTCTTCTGTCAGTCATCAGTTGGTATATCTGGTAAAGCTACGGTCAAGGTCGATGTGAAGTCTTCACGACCTGAGATGGAGTCGTTGGTGCCTGCTTCGTTCCTGGCGAAGGTGATTGGGAAAGCGCGCTCAGAGCGATCAGTCTACAGACACGAGGTGGCAGGAACGGATACTAGACATCGCCGGCAGGCAGAGACGAGGTATGCTCATAAGTTAATATTGGTAGACTGAAGATAGACTGAAGAGAACTATGGACTCTGGTCGGCTGGATACATGGTACCACACACCACGAGGAGATGGAGTGCAATGTCACCAAAATTACTCTCACAGAGCAAGGTCATCCGTTCATGGACCTCGCCGTTTTCCAAAGGATTCTGACAGGCTTTGACTTCACACAGGCTGGCTCATCTGGCTTTTCAACTTATCAAAGCTCAAAATCGTGGCATCGTGATATCTGGCGCAGAGATAACAGTAGGACAAAGTCGTCCAACCTATACTCAGCTTTCTTCACTGTAGTAATCCTTTGTCCGCTCGGCCGCTGCAGCCATAACCTCTTGGATCACACTCTCATCATACCTAGGAACAAGCTTGACCTTGAAATCTCGAGGAATAGCAACCAATGCTGACTTGAACTGGTTGTAGTCGACATAATCCGTGTTGGGAGGCTCTGTCTCACTGGCCACGATCTTATAGCACACCAGCAGCCTTATAAGCGCTGTGTACAAGAGTCGACTTGCTATGAATTGACCTGAGCAAGCTCTGGACCCTGCGCCGAATGAGAAATGCTGAATGCCCTGACTGGGTTTTTCTTCGGGCACTGTCGTCGACGGCCGCGCCACATACTCGTCGTTCAGCCATCTCTCTGGGTTAAATGCCGCAGCATCCGGACCAAAGTGATCGACGTCATGGTTTGCGGCTTGAGCATTGATGAGGATCATGGTCTTGGGTGGGATCTTGGCTCCATTCCAGTCAACCTCGGTCACTGTCTTCCGAGGCAGTGACATGGCGCTGACAGTGTAGTACCGAGCAGCTTCCTTAATGATGGCATTGACATATGGCACCTTCTCCTCTTGAAAGCTGTTTGACCATACAGTTGCAGGGTCTGGATAGTATCGCATGATGTCCTCATACGCACGGTCTTGGAAGACTTGTCCTTCCTTGGTGGAAAGAGAACCGATACATGAAGTCAAGGTGCCCGGGATAGTCTCAAAACCTCCCGAAACAAGGGAGAGGCAGATTGACGAGACTTCAACACCCGTAAGCTTAGTCTCTTCGTCCTTCAAGATTGCCGCGCTGATGCAAGGCTTATCGGTGCCTTTCTTGATCATGTCTCGGACCTTGTTGAGGAGAAAGTTCAGGTAGCGGTCACGACGATCACGCAGCTCCTTTGACCGACGGATCTTTTCGTTGTTGGGAAAGTAGCGCATGATTGGAACGTAGTCTTGGTAGTTTTCTGAGGCCGACCGCAGGAGTGAGATTGCTGATCCGACGTGCAAGATCTCCCTCAACATGTCGTCGTAGACGTTGTCCATCCGGATGCCATAGCAGAGAGTCAATGTGGTATTGAGGGCATATCGTTGAATGTATGGTCGCACACCGATCTCGAGCTTGCCGTTTTTGCTGTCGCGGAAGAGGTCACGGACAATACAGTAGGACTCCAAGTCGAACATATCAAAGTATCCACGCATCGCAGGCCGGCCAAGAGCCTGACCGGCAGCCTTTCTTTTGTTCTTGCAGGATGTGTCCCATGGGCTAGACCCGATGGTAAACCCTTGAGTGGTGGAAATCACGCCGTGGAACGTGTACAAGGTTGGTCGGTCGATCACAGCATTTTGATGGCCAACAAGCATCCGCCGCGCGTCTTCAAAAGAGTTTACCACGACAGCCCTGGTGTTACCCAGGCGGATTTGAAACACGGATTGTCGATACTTCCGCCACCATCCCTCGCAAACCGTTGCATGATCGGGCCCCAGTTGTTGGAGATGTCCGAGTATTGGTAGAGCACCAGGAATCTCTGGGATGCCTTTGATTTTCGGAATGTCGGTGGCAGTGGACCACTACTAAGGTCAGCTTTGTACATTGAACGAGGAGTATGTCAATGACCTTGTACAGCCCAAGCAGAATCAAGAGGCCCACGGTGATCCAGAGAGCGTAGTCGTGATTGATGGCTCGAAGGAGACCAGCCAATGAAGGTGCCATTGCTGTCAAGGTCTCTTCGATCTAGTTTGAAGTCCCCCTTGGAACATTCGATGTATGCCTAGGAGAGCAGAGAGGAATGGGATTGAAGAACCAGAAGCAATTTTATATCCTCTAGACCGTTTGCCGCCAAATCGTCGATCAAGTATGGAGAAGCGAGCTGGCGGACTTGTGCGGGCCCATGGACCCAAGGACGGAGAACAACGGGCGGTGATTTCTGGCGGCAAGGGCCGTGGTGCACCGCTACTGTCCTCACTTTTAGACCATGAACGCACCCTTCCGCGATGCGTCAAGTCACCCGTTGAGAATGTCATCTCTTTCTGTAGCTGATCTCTTTGGCGTCAAGGGCCGAGTTGCCCTGGTGTCCGGGGGATGCTCGGGCCTTGGACTGATGATCGCAAAGGTGAGCGACAGCCGTTCCGTGTTCGCACCAGTAGTCGGACTGATGATGTGGAATAGGGTCTGGTGTCGAACGGTGCAAAGGTGTATGTCACTGCCTTACCGACGGATGATATTGAAACGGTGGTGGCTGAGCTGAATGACATGGGGAAGTCATCGGGGGGGAAGGCTGTAGGGTAGTCGTTTTGCCAAACCAAGCATCGCTGTAACGCCACAATGACTGATGAAATCACAGATTTGCGAGTGATATATCTTCCAAAGAAGGGATCGCTGCTGTCGCAAAAGAACTCGAAAAGCATGAAACTCACCTGGACATTCTCTGCTCAAACGCCGGAATCAGGAGAGACCCACTGAAGATGTGCGACGTCAAAACTGCATCTTTGGATGAACTCCAAGAGTCTCTGTGGTCTTCGCGACATTCAGATTGGGATGATACATTCCGTGTCAATGTCACAGCCCACTACTTTCTGTCAGTTGCGTTGCTAAAATTGCTGGTCGCAGCGAGCAATCTTGACATTGGGAATGGCCGAAGAGGTCGAGATGAGGGTCGAGGGGTGATGATAATTACTAGCAGCTGTGCTAGTATGCATAACTGCACAAATGTCGATTTGACCAGCTATGCGGCCAGCAAAGCGGCAATTGATCATTTGGTCGCGCTCTTGGCGAGCAAGTTCGCGAGATGTGAGTGTTGCCTCCCGTCACCTTGGTAGCCCGGAATCAAAAGCAATGCTGATCACGCCTTGAACCCAGGGTATGTCAGAGTCAACGCCATCAATCCAGGCTGTAAGTGGAAGCAATACGTGCACGCAATCAGAAAATGGCTGAACCTGGTCACAGTTGTCCCTAGCAAAATGAACCCCGTTGAAGAGGGCGATAATCAATTTGCAGAGCTTTTCAAGGCAATGCCAGCAGCGAGGATAGGCAAATTGGAAGATATTGCAGGAGCAGTGCTCTATCTGAGCAGCCAAGCTGGGGTAAGTTGAGCAGTCCTTGCGTCAAAAAGGGGGAGATTTGCTAAACAGCCAACTATCAGGCGTATGTGGACGGGAGATGCCTTTGTGTCGATGGTGGACGAGTTCTTCTGGCCAACGGTCAATAGGAGCGCAAGGATCTGGGATTCTTAGAGATCAAGAAAGAGGCAATCTGACAGAAGTGGGAGTCGGTGAACCTCATGGTCTTTTTGATAGAAGGCTACTTCCAGACCAGGACTAGCTTGGTTTGTCTTTGTCCTGGAACACCAAAACAGGAAGGAGAGATCGATGAAGTTCCTGGCCCTTGACGTCATATAATATCACGCTATCACGTGGAATTAGTGCTTGGCTGGCCCTGGAAAAAGCTTGGCATGTGGCCTGCTTTTGCTATAACAGCCATGCAGCTCAGTGAAAATCCAACGACGAGGTACAGACAGCATGTTGCAGTTCGTGTCTGTCGCCCCTTTGAGTGGCTCGGGCCCGATCAAGTACTACCTTCCTGTGATTTATTCTGGCGAAAGTCTACCCGTTGCAAGGCCGATATTCCCTGCTTACTTCCTCCCCCCGACATCCCGTTCAGTGCTACAGTTCCTTATCAACGCAAGCAATACAAATGTCTTCGTCTCTTTACGATATCCGTTCGAGGCCCGATTCGTTCGCATTTCATCTCTGCAAATTTGCTATGCAATGGCCCTGAAAAAGTACATATTGGCTCGGCAACAACCTGCATCACAACCCCTGCCGCGGAACATGTGCGCGGGTGGCCGGGAGATCTGACGAGCTTGTTGCGCTACCGAGGTGCTTGTTATCCTTATCTCCAATCAGTGTCAGCTGAGGTCGCTCTCCAGCTTGACCTGGATCTGCGCCCATTCCTTCGTCCACATTTACATTGGTTGTCTTGTGTATGTTGCTTGACGATCACTTGCACACCTTCCCCTTGGGTTATAGGCTGCTGCCCTGCGCCCGCATCAACGTTGCATTGTCATAACATCATGGCCAACAAGCTTCTGAAGCTTCCCGATAACGACTTCCACGCGTTGCCGTTAAGGTGTCATACCTTCCACATGCGGGGTTAAAGAGCTTGTGGATCGCTGCAACTGTTACGTTCAGCGGCAAAAAAACAGGTTGGTTGCGCAAGACACATGTGTGTGGGAAAGACAGCCTCCTGCCAGCTGATTGTCTTGTTTTATTTCTCTACCTTCTGTCCCTTTCATTTCTGATTCTCATTGCGTTCTCCATTCATGCAAGATGAGGCTCTTATATGCTCTCCTAACAGCTACCCTCACTGGGCTTGGACAGGCGAAGTAGGTTGTCTGACTAGCTTCAAAACATTGCCTAACATCACGCAGAAATCTTGCGCCTGCACCCCACAGGTTGACAGCACGGCAGGATGTTGACCCAACGGAACTGTACCCGGAACACTACATTTCTATGCCTGTAGACCACTTCCACAATGAATCCCGATACGAGCCGCATTCCAATAAAACCTTCAAGCTGCGGTACTTTTTCGACGCAACATATTACAAGCCCGGGGGACCTGTAATAGTCTTACAAAGCGGAGAGGCAGATGCCAGCGAGCGCCTACCGTACCTGCAGAAAGGAATCGTGTACCAGCTCGCGTCGGCTCTAAATGGTATCGGCGTGGTCTTGGAACACAGATATTATGGGAAAAGCTTTCCTACACCTGACCTGTCGACCAAGAATTTGCGGTTTCTGTCCACAGACCAAGCCGTAGCTGACCAAGCCTACTTTGCCTCACACATCGTCTTTCCGGGGATGGAAAATCTCAACTTAACGGCCCCCGGCACGCCCTACCTGGCCTATGGAGGCTCATACTCTGGCGGAATCGTTGCATTCTTGCGCAAGCTATACCCTGAGATCTACTGGGGCGCAATTTCATCGTCAGGAGTTACGAAAGCCATCTATGATTATTGGGCGTACTATGAACCGGTTCGCCAGTACGGTCCACCTGCATGTATCGCGGCACAAACGAAGTTGATCAATATCATGGATAACATCCTCCAGAAGAATGACGCAAAGACTGTTGCACAGCTTAAGAAAGGCCTCGGTATGCAGACCCTTACGCACAACGATGACCTGGCGAACCTCGTGTCGAGCGGAATTGGCTGGTGGCAGTCGACAAACTGGGACCCAGAGGTCAACAGTCCGGAATTCAGCTACTATTGCGGCAATATCAGCTCCGACACTCTTCTTTGGCCTAGCTCTGCTTCTATGAAGGACAATGCCACAGCGCTGATAGAAGCGGGCGGATGGGCCAATGAGAGCGCACAACTGCTAAACCCTCTGCTCAACTGGCTGGCATGGACCAACGATAGCTATGCTGGGTCATGCGACAGTACGTTCGATGAATGCTATGGTACTCACAATGAATCGGCGCCCATGTATACCGATAAGAACATTACCAACTACAATGCACTGTCATGGCCGTATCAATACTGTAAGGAATGGGGCTATATTCAAGACGGAGCAAGTGTCCCCCATGACCGCCTTCCTCTCATATCCCGTCTCCTGACCGTCAAATATCTTACGCAAGTTTGCCGGTATGCATTCAACATTACTACGCCGCCTGATGTCAACGCTGTCAATAAATATGGCGGCTTCAACATCTCCTATCCCAGACTTGCAACCATAGGAGGAGAGGCCGACCCCTGGCGGCCCGCGACAGCGTTAGCGACCTTATCTCAGCCTGACGTCCTTAACCAAACAAGCACGCCGAGCGAACCTGTCATTTTAATTCAAGGAGCAGTGCATCACTGGGATGAAAATGGTTTGGTGAGTCTTCCCAATGGCGATCCCGACCTAGATGTCGGGCTAGTAGTCTTTGCCATGGTGAACATGCGCTGACTTTTTCTATCCTGAAGTTTCCGAATGAGACAACACCAAGCCTGCCACCGGCTCCAGTGGCCAACGCACAGAGGCAAATCGTAGAAGCGGCTCAAGGCTGGATGGCAGAGTGGAAGGCAACTCGCCACTGAGCCCTTTGCACCCAGTACTTCGCAGGTGTGCACGCTTACCATCAACAGGAATCGGTGGGCGAGGTTGGGTGGGGACTGTGAGATGCCCAGGCCTCAACATCTGATCGGGGCCGTCAGACTGGTGCGACCAGTCTCCTCTCGGCGAGCTCCAAAGGATATTCACTCCCAACCTATGCCCTTGAGAGGGATTGGGCACATTCTGATACCTGGCGATCACATAGTGCAGGCGGTGTGTGCAGCTTTGTACCAAACACAGGAGCTTCCAACCCAACTTCTTGCGCCGTGCTGCCGCTTAAGTGATCGACAGACCTTACATGACGCCGGGCACTTCAGGGTAAGACAGAGTATTTATATACCCAGTAGTGATGGAAATGTCCGTGCAAGCGAGACTGACAGAGCAGCGGTGTAGTAGTACGGAGTAATTGTCTCTCGTCTCCCACAACGGGCTGCCACTTCGTATGATCCAAGGCACCAACCCCGGTTATGCGGACTTCGTAATTCCCGCGCTTGTACTCGGTAGACAGGCGACTTGTCTACAATGGAGCTGGTGACCTCCAGGACAAGGGCGAGTTACAAGGAACTGTGTCTAATCTTCAGGAGCTTGCAGTGGAAATGGCAACGATCTGAGCTGAGCTGTGGGAAAAGGGGTTGGGAGGGGTGGAGGTCCTTGACAGGTCAAATGACGCCGCCTCCACACCAATTTCACAGCTCAAGGGTTTCAAATGACTGACTTCATTCTTTGGTGTGAGACCTCCACCATCATCTCTCTGCTACTAGGTCCACAGGCAACTTTCACATTGGCGCATATGTACTTCGGAGCACAGCGGTTTGTACAACATCAATCACTACCCATTCAAAGCTTGAATTTGCATGGGAGGAAGTTCTCAGTATTGGCTACCTCACTCAAATCCCGAGCACACGCCTCGCCGCCTGACCTCCCTCAAGATAAATCCAAAGGGGCTGGACCCCAGTAAAGTGGCGTTTGAGACTGCAGCCAACCATGACAACAAGCTCCCACTGTCAGACTTGGGTCGAGACAAGACGGCAGGGCACGTGTTTGATCATGAATCCCACAATTTTCTCCTCCGTCCGTTTTCTGCGCGAAAGCCGTTCCATAGCCCAAGACCTTATGCAAGAGAGTGGACTACATGGCTGCTGGTGGACAAAAGACAAAAAAATAACCTCGATATACTACGGAGTATTTACCTACTGTGTACCTTTGGCGCCCGTAGCCGCCGTTGGTTGGATCCTGCTCAAGCCTCGTCACGTCAACCCTCACCTGTTGCGAACAAGATGCACAACTCTAGTTTAGCTCTGGGACGCCTTGACCTTCTCGGCCACCGCTCCAATGCAACCGGGCTCAGGCGTCTGGGCCTGGTACCTGGAGCTTTACCCAGAATGGGTGCTGATGGTGTACTTGTACGTACAAGGACTAAGCCCATCTTGATTGCCTGTTGACGTTTTTTCTCCTTGCTAAGCGAAGGGCCCGATCACTGGGCGCATGCCGCCATCCACTCTCCACATTCTCAATTGGACGGTCAATATCAAGACGTCAAAACACCGATCCATCGTGGACAAGGATATGATACCTGTACATGAGAACGGTTATGGAAAAAGAAAAACACCAATACCGCTTGCTGCTGGGTTTCGGTCCTACTTTTGTAAGTCCGGCAGGTCTCCGTGGGTCGTTGACGCTAGACAAACTCCAGAGCCCACATATTCGTTGCAGTGTGTGCCAGCAATGAAACGTTGGTCCTCAAACCAGACTTCCCGTCTACTCCACTTCCCCTCGAACTTGCAGTAACCTCTAACAGACTTCATCAAAAAACCCCCGAGGGCTAGGTCCCTTCATCAACCTAGCTCGTGCTGGACTGAAGACTCACAGTCAAGCTTCCTGCAATCTTACTCTCGCTAGAAGTACCTGATCGTCGCTATCCCTTCTTCTCCGGCTTTGTCGTCTGCGAGATAAAGTTGTCTCTTACCTCAATCAGGTAGCATCTAACCCTCTTTACTGGGTCGGCCATTTTGGTCTCTCGTCAAAATCCTGGTCGGCCGCTCTCATTTTCTGTCCGAGTGGCCTTTCGTGGCGTACACTTGTCCTTTTTGTTCGCTTCAAGCTGGCGAGGCTCGAA